GTGCTCTCTGCATGCTCTCCGTGACATCATCGGGTGCTATGGCTCACAGCTTATACTTGTCCACACACAAGAGAAAATGTTAGTCCGATGTTATAAATCGCACACAAGTACAGATACGGGAGGAGTGTCCATTCCTATAAAAACTGCTAAGTTGAAATCTACGACAAAACAAAGGAAGATTTCTTCATTTCCGTATAATTTGGAATCCCCTTATTTAGCCCTTATGTTAAACTCTGTGCAGTATTCACAAAAGAAGTATGAAGGGGCCGCGGTGGTCGAGTGGTTATAGCGTCTGACATTCTGCCAGTACTTAGCCCTGCACCACTTGGTCAGGGGTTCGAGATCTACATGGGGCAGTTACCAGGTACTGGCCGTAGGTTGGTGGTTTTTCTCTGGGAACTCCGGCTTTCCTCCATCACCACCTGGCACGTCCTTAAATGACCATAGCTGTTAATAGGACGTAAAACACAAACAAACCAGACCAAACACCGAAACGAGACCGGATGAATTCGTGAAGGTCGTGTATGAAAGGTATGTGGACACATACAGGTGTTTTATGGGTACCAGCCCCTCATTTACATTCAGAACTATTGCATGGGCTATTCGGCCTTTTTTCTTAGTGGTGTAGATTAATTATGGAAAACCCCACAAAATATCAGCTTTTATGAAAAGTACCTGTTTACTATGAAAATCAAGGCAGACATGTGATTTATATTTTGTTAACTACCTTGTAACTAACTTGTATTCTTATATAAGAAATTGTACATCTTAAGTTAATATTCAAGTTTCAAAATAGGTGGTACTGATTGATAAGTAGATGTGAGATGTGAATAGATTATATCTAACTTCACACAATCAAGAACTATCCCTGTGTTGGCTCCTCACCCACACAGCCCTCAGGTTTAATGAGGCAGGATTGTCTCAACTACAGCCTGGTTGAGAGTCCTCCAGATCCGTCGTTATAGCAAACATAATATATTTCAGGTGTAAAAAATGTAAAGAATACACACAAACATGTTTTTAGATAATCTTTGTTCTCGGTAGTTTTAGATAATATGAATGAGATTCAGCTCCGCGTCAACAAAAAATGATATACAATATTGCGAAAGTATAATCACGAAATACCTGAAATGCAGTATGTTATTAATTTACAACTTAACAATGAAATTGTATTTGTAAAATCATAACTGTGTTGGCAAGTGTCTGTTTGCCGTATCTTATAACACACAGACAATTACAGCTTAATAGGAAATACTTGTAACCTAAAGTAGCCCATAACACCCTACAAAATAGATGAAGGGATGACTGTGCACTTTATCTAAGGTCAAAGTCAATGGTAAAGTTATGTCTTCCATTAAGATACTCAGAAAGTTACCAAATATGGATATATACCGTTAGTTCAGCAGTAATACTTAACGTGTTTTATTATCAACCTTTCTGAGCCACACTTTGGGGGACTAAAGCGCCTTCACCTGTGCCTTTATCGCTGGCAAAGTTGTTGGTACAAATTGAAAAAGAAAATATATGCACATATTATGACCGTAATGGGGAAAATGTAATTTTCAACATGTAGTTTAAATACTGTAAAATCCTCACCCCATGATCCTACCATTAGGTATGTTTGGACCTTTCCTTCAATGTAAAAAGTAATATCAGATAAGTAAAACGTTCAAATTAACACGTGAATATTTTAACCCCTTCCCTGCAGGTCGGGGATCAAAAAAGGATACAACTGATGTTACCCACTGCATGGTATCGTAAGAGGCGACTAATGAGGGACCCCCTGCAGAGTTGGGGATTTTGTTTTTATGTCCTCTAATTTAGGACATGAAAGCGACCAAAATAAATCTGCTGCACCCGTTGCAATGTTTGGGATCTTTGTCTTTTTCTTTACTTCTGAATACCTTTTATATCATAGTGCCTTTCTTGGCAATACCTCACTTTTGTCTTTAATGGCGTTCGCCCAGGTAAGGAAGGCAAGGGGTTCTGTTCCCAGGCCGGGACATACCAGTCATACAAAATGGTAGTTGTTATTTTTCTGCATAATGTTCAACATTAAGTTGAATGGCAACGACTGTTAACCAGTTGTCAGTATAATGTGACCGTGTGGAATGCTGTGCTGGTTCTTTCGGTATGGTATTTTAGTGAGCTAGCACTATAAAGTCGGTACCAGATCACAAGGAGGCAGTTACACCAACATACCCTGTAACCGGTACACATACACGCATGCATGCAAATACAACACACATGGATGCTCGTCCTTAATTTACATTAGCTGTTGATAGGGCGTTAAAGAATATACAACCCATCCAACCAACTCCCTGTATTGGTGGTGTTGACTGGTATATAACATAAATGGGGGACGCCACTTTTATCGAGAGCTAATCTTTCACCTTAAAACATCTTATATTACTCTTAACACATCGAGTTACCTTTAAACACAATGTTGTAGCAAATTCACAAGTTCCTTTGCCCCATCTCTGGTGACTTGGTCCGTTGGTTTATTATTCATCAATAGATACATAGATTTTATTTTGATAAAATTAAGATTGATCAATCCTTTGACAGTCAGCTCTGAAGTAAAAATAATTAATCAAAAAAATATTTCAAAAGTTGCGACGTTTAGATTTCGGTTTTTCCTTTGAAAATGTATTTCTGCGCTGACTTATTGGTTTTACTCCGTTTCTTAATACTCTTCTTCTAATTCCGCCTTCAATTTTGTCCGCGCGATATCTCAAACACTTTACATTAAATTCCAACGAAACTAACATGAGTATTGAGGCATATGCCTAGATGTGCAGGACACCTTTTTTCCGATCGGTCAACAAAGATGGCCGCCACGGCCTCTGATTGGTCGAAATTAAATATTGGTCGATTTTGAGTACTTTGGCACTGCGAATTTATCTGTGGGTTTTTGGGGACTTCTGTAATAGTCCCCCATTACAATAAGTACTTGTTTATATTCAAATTGTTTAACTGTGCTTGAATTCACTAATACTTAATCTGTAATTTGTAAAGTTGGGTCCACTTCTAGATAGACTTTCCCCGTTATCAAATTTGTCGGTTACTTCATAGTGATGTTTCGTGGACAATATTTTGCAAACCTCTATTATGTCACCAGGTGATCTTCTATATGCTAGTGTTATCTTTAGTTTTCCAATCGCTCCTTATAGGATAAGTCTTTTAGGCCAGGTAACTGCTTTGTTGCTCGACGTTGAACATTTTTTTATTGTTTCAATGTGTTTTTTCGATATGAGGACACCAGGCCTGATTCACGTATTCAATTTGTGGTCTAACTAAAGACTGTTGACGATCACACATATATTATAACGTCCCCCACTTCAGCCCTAAATGCTCTCGTATCATCCGCGAAACGGAATGCATTCATTCTGGGACTTGTTTCATCAGGCATGTCATTTATATAAATTATCAATAAAAGTGGTCCCAAAACTGACCCTTGCGGCATGCCACTATTTACATGGTTCCATTCCGACTTTTCCCTATTTACTATGTATTGTATATTGTAAGGTTTGGTTTTATATGTATCAACAGCTAAGTTAATTTTAAGGACGTACCTCCATGTGTGCTGCGTATGCATGCGAGTGTATATGTATTTGTCTCCTTGTTATACCAGCTCTTTTTCCGCCCGGTCACATTATACTGACAACGGGTGAACCAGTTGTTGCCATTACCCTAAATGTTGAACGTTGAACAGGGAATAACAACTACCATTGAAACCAAAAGTGAGGTGTTGCCAACCAAAGTGCTAGGGTATAAAAGTTAAAAAAATATTTTCGTCGCTTTTGTGTCTCCAAGTAGAGGACACAAATGCAAATCCCCAATTCTGCAGAGCCTTCCCTCATGAGTCGCCTCTTCTCTCATCTCTGATGCCACATCGTCCTTGAGGCTTGAAATTATTGTCAAAACGCTATCCTACTTAGCTCCAGTGGACATTTTCGGGTTTCCCTTTGAAGTAATTACCTTCTGTCTTAGACAATTCAAGCCGCCACGTGGTTGATGAGAGCTTTATCACAATGTCGCTGGACAGGTCATGCAACCGGGGCGATATAGCTCTAAATGTTCGTAATATAGTATAAATATGTATCTGCCACGGGACCCAACAATATGCGAGGTCACCGAGAAACTGTCGCTACTGTAAGTAGAGTAAACTGTAGGAGTAATGGATTACAATGTCTACAATATGCAGAGCAATGATAAAGCCGTCCGTACAGTTTGGAATCATCGAAGGAAGAGCGTTGGGGTCAAGGAATATTCAGCCAAGCAGCCCTAATGCAAAAAGCTTGATTTCATCCTGGAACTTCTTCAATATACGCCCGATTTGCCTGACCAACAGCCAGCTTCTCATCAAATTGATTTGCTCGGTCATCATAGGGTACTTTGGAGATGTCCTGATAAATGCTGCTGAATGACAGCACTCGTAACAATCGTCTTAGTCTTATTATCTGTTGCTGTAGAAGTCAAATTTTCTAAACATCAGCCTTTAATTAAAATATGACAAAAAGTAGTCATTAATTTAATTGTTTCAATGAGAGAAAACTAGTCGGGCTCACAAGACTTTGTTACAATTGTGTTAACCGTAAACCAAGTAACTATTACTTGTGGAACAAGCTTAAGTAAAGAATAAAAGACAAAAAAACATTAGGTCGACGCAGATTTCTTGTTCACATGCTTATTTCCACAATATGTGGAACATAATCAAAACCCTACAAAGACACAATACAATTTATTACATAATGGAACACAGCGCTTACATATAATTCCTAACATGTACATTCAGTGCAAACATATTTGATACGTTAACACACAATAGGTTATTAAAAAATAGGAATAATGCTATTACTTTGCAATGACTGACTTCATCATAATCAATTGTTGAAATTACTTATACATAGTTATATTAAATACAATTATCCTTATCAATTAGCACTTGTTCATATTATCATATACAATATTAAAATACCTACCCCAACTATAGGTCGGGGGTTTACACAGAATGAAGATCTGTATCTGTATCCGTTCTCTATCGAAACTCTATTATCTCTGTAAAAGATCAAAAAAACATATATGCATTACTTTAAAAAGAGCTATCTGTGTATTGATTGAATATACATGTACGTAAGATCAAGCTTCTGATATTTTATAAAAAGTACAATTTCACAATATAAGTAATGCTACTTAATCCAAAATTTCATCAATATAATAATTTAACATAAACCAATTACAGAATAAGACTTTGTCACATCTATATGTGTATAGATACCAGATCTGGAGAAGACTTCAAGACTTTAAACTTCTGAATATAAAATACATCCACCCTTCAGCTCTGTCTATGAATGAATACTAAAAACCGCGCCAAAACATGTAACAAAGACACCTAGACTTACCACTAACCAAAACAAGGTAACACCTATATTTAGAACAATTACCTTATATGGACATAACAAGGTGACAACAGACTCACGTGTACAATAACAACCCAGATAGACGGCACAGTGATCGTACACAGCACATGTATACGCGAACAGCACTATATACGCAGCGCAACAATTAATTAAATTCAAAAATATTTTATCACAGACTTTAATAAAACATCAATATTTTCACATTGTTACACATTTGTAATTATTGCTCACCTGTTGTACTGTGTTGAATTCATTCAGGGCTGCTAGAATGTAATCCAGGAACATGAAATGCTTCTGGATCAATGAGTAGTGTCGTAAGTTTATCAACATTTGCTTTACGATCGCCATGGCTGGAGAAGTAACTGGTGAGGGCTGGCCAGTGGTGGAGGGTTCGAGAAACTGTCTTCTGTAGTGAAAGTCATTGGGATGTGTCATGACGCAGGATCTTAAATGGCTTGAATTTGTCCATGAAATTGGAAAAAAGTTCCTGACGTGCGTTTTGCACTGTAATGCAATGCAATTACACAAAATTAAAATTGAAAAGGAAAGACTTCGCTAAAACAAATACTAATTTTGCTTTATAAAAAGAAGTTTTGGTTACAGAATTGATCTTTTTTAATAACGAATGTACGGATACCATTATGTTCTATGGCAAAGACTTGAACAAGTTCCTATGTTTCATTACCTGCAGTGGGAAAAGTAGATGCCCACCAGCACATCATTAATGGCAATGGGAATTGTCTGACCTTGACAGCATAGTACACCAGATGTCCAGTAAATGTGGCTGTACTCACGAATCCTGGAAACCGATGAGTTACGACGCCTCTTCATTACCTGTGCAGTAATACAATATATGCACAAAGTTTAAAAAGCCATGATAAACAAATCACTCGAATGATAAAACAAAAAGTTAAAACATATTTATGAATGAACAACAACAACAATTAATTCAGCTCAAGCAGTTGTCCAAAGCATTAAGCAGAGTGTGGGCGTTTCTACTATTCACTACAGGTATGTCCAAAAACTTAGTTCATTCTTACACAGATAGCAAATCTGAACCTCTGTCAGTGTTCAGTCCGACAAGTTTCTACAATAATTGTTTTTTCAAACGATGGTACAAAACAAACGATGGTGATATGGTCCGTTTCACAATTTGTGCGCACTTGGTACGACTATATGAACATTTTCTTGCAATTTCACTGTCAGGGAAAAGCATTGGTGCTATTTAACTGAAAAAACAGAGAACGGGATGGGATGTAGTGTTCTGCCACCATGGAGCTGAACATTGTTTGTGATCGTAGGACTTTAACCGCCAAAGGATCCTTCGCTTTCACGAATCCAAACATATTGCCAGTGTTTGACTTCGCCGCGATCTATTTGTCATGGTTTCATGACGAAATGTGGCGTTATATATCATAAAACTTACTGGATTCAAAGGTAAAGTTTATCATGCTCAACTGGAAATATGCGTATTATTTCCCGATGTAGTTTTAAATAGTCATTCGTGGTCCTTCTCCCAGACTGTGTTATACTTCAGCGAGTACCGCTTGTTTTTGGAACTTGGGGACCAGCACGGACCCGACAGCGATCTTTTTCTAGTAGGCGACGGCATCATCTATGGAATTTTCAAAAAGATCGCTATGTTTTATACTGATTAAACTAGTGAAAACAGCTCGACTATCCCTGAACATATCGCTTGAGCTTGGACGTTTCAGCTTCAGATTTTGTCTTGGCAACCCTGTCTCTTTTCTGCTTTACCACTCTATTGCATACTTTTATCGCAAAAAGGTATATCATATATATGGCACCATCGAGTGAACCCAGATATTGTGATGACGATATACTCGGTCGACATGCAAGTAATTAGGAGCCGTACGCCTTACTACAATAATTAGCCATGGCATCTCAATCACATTCGTTTGACTCTGAGACTAGAAATAGTACTTTTGACTTCTCAGCACCTGTAAGCCATTCTCACTGATATGCCAACAAAACCAGGGATTATTTTGAATGCCCCCTGAAGTGTGATATAGTTTTCCTGTATAGGATTTTTGTTTATCTCAAAGAGTCTGTCATTGATTCTTCATCATTAATGGTAAGGCCCACAACTACAACACACATTCTCACCTCGTACATATTCTTTGATGGTGGATATTCCCTGTGCGATACTAAAACTGGTGAACCTATTCCCTTTCAATTGGCCGACACAGTAATTGTTAAACCAGTCGTGTCACAACCCCTGTTGAAACGTTTATGTATAATCTGTCCAATGCAAGCTGATGTCAGCCGAAGCCTCCTGTTTTCCTTCCATAAAGTACACTAGTTTGCAATTTGTTTGATTGAGACATATCTATCCTGCAGTGTTGAATTCAGCGTTTACGTCTTTCAGGGGCATCCCTGCAGGTCGGGGATCGAGAAAACAATACACCTGCTGATCGTATAAGGCGGCTAAATTACGGATTTACCTTTCTCTTTTTTTAACAACTTTCTTCTTCTTAATGTCTCCCTTGGCAACGCCTCACTTGTGGCCTTTAGATGAGCGTTCGTCCCTGTGAGGAAGACTGGGTTCTGTCCCCTGGCCGAGACATACCAGAGTCTGTTTAAAGCACAGCAATTTAGGGGTGCAATTTAGTATAATGTGACCGGGTGGGGTGTCCTTATGGGTGTCTTCGGTAGTATGTTTCAGTCTGGTAGCACTATTAAGTCGACATCAGTTCCGCGCTAACAGGAGACAAACACGACCATATCGTAGCCTCCAAAAACAAACACACATACACTACACGCCTGCATCTTGCACACAGGGGAGGCCGTCCTTAAATGACCATAGCTGCTGATAGGACGTTTAACAATACTAAACCAAACTATAATGAGCTGCTGTCCGAAAAGGCAAATTGTGGTCCGCAATAAAATTAGTGAACAGTATAACAGCTCTGATTACCTATCTTGTTCTGTTTTCTTAAACATGTCCATAACAGTTCTGTTAACTAAGTAGTATTTCGTTTGAAACATGTTTTTCGCTCCTCGCATGTTGCCCGACATCGTACTATGTCCGACACTGAACTGATATTACAAACATACCACTTTTCTGTTCCCACAGAAATTCTAACGACTATGTTTGGTTAAACTTCACGAGATACTTGTGAAGAGTTGAAACTTACTGAGGGCTCCGAGGTGTGTCGAACACGTTAAGGCATCTCGCACCAACAATAAATTAAGATAAAAAAGTCTACACTTTGCACAGATCTGTATATACGCACAGAGACGACGATCAATTTCTGTTTTATTATTACTTACTTTCAATATAGATAATGACGCTTAGTAGATCAATTCTCAAGTCCAACGGCAGCTAACATGTCAATTCATGAAGTGATCGAAACGCAAATCGCATTGCATGACCAGTCCTTGACTCTACTCGAAAGCACTCGGGATTCATCGGTCAAAATAATGTAGAAAATCGCAAAATCTCGAGTAAATAGCTTGGAGAAAATTGCTGACTTATCGATGTTTAAAAACCTTAGGTTTTCATGAGGTTTTCATGACTTTTCGTAATTTTATGTCATACAGGTATGAATTTTGGTAAACAGCAACGCTATGAATTCGTTGGCGTCCAACATCAAGCGGACCGAATGTTTGAGAGCGGACACCTACAGTAGGGCCAGCTTCCAAACGGACATTTCCACAGAAAGAAGTTTTAATTCGGATATGGCGGTAATGTTATCATATAAGACAGTTCGTATCCGTTTGTTATGAACTGACGAAACGTTTCGTTCAATGCTGTTTATGGTAATTGCATTAGACTATAGTTTGACAATAGGGTCGATTAAAAAGTGTCGCTTTATTATCTAAAAAACATCTATAAAGACAAACTGTTGTATTTTCTAACTAGTTACTGGTTTTTTCTTTGCTCTCCCCTGTTCAAATATCAAATTTCTTGGGACATTCTCAATATCCTTCTTTTTCAATATCTGCTTGATCTCCCATTTAGTGTCGACTTAACTGTGTACGTTTATTAAAACATCAACCTTTATCGTCGTAATATCGGAGTTAACACATCCGGAAATTGCCTCGCCTGGCCACCCCTGCAGGTGGGGGATTGAGAAAAGAATATTGTATCGTAGGAGGCGACTTATGTGGTAAATCCCTGCAGAATTAGGAATCCTAAATTTGGTGACACAAAAGCGACCAAACTAAATCTGCTGCGCCTATTGCAAGATATTTATCTTTCTTTCTACTTCTAACTACGTTTTAATTCCCAGCGCCTTGTTTGGCAACACCTCACTTTTGGCTTGAATGTTGAGCGTTCTCCCAGGTGAGGAAGGCTATGGGTTCAGTCCCCAGGCCGGGACATACCCAAGTCATTAAAAATGGTGGTTGTTATTCCTTGCTTAACGTTCAGCATGAAGGGGAATGGCAACAACTGGTTCACTCGTTGTCAGTATAATGTGACTGGGCGAAATGCTGTGCTGGGTGCCAACGGCATGGCATTTCAATGAGATAACTCTATAAAGTCGGCATCAGATCTGCGCTATCACAAGCACACAAACATACTCGGTCTCCTGCGTACACACACGAAAGTACGTCCTTAATTGACCTTAGCTGTTAATAAGACTTTAAATGAATTAAACCAAACCAAACTAAACCAAGCCTCGCCTGAGCGTCGAGTTTCGACAAGGATATTTTCTAGTTTGGTTTGGCAGGTTAGGAAGGCAATGAGTTCTGTCCCAAAGCTGGGAAATACAAAAGTCCTTAGGAATGGTAACGTTGAGCATTAAGGGTAATAGCAACAAATGACTCACCCGTTGTCAGAAAAATTTGACCGGGCGGAATGCTGTGCTGCGTGCCTTTGATATGGTATTGTAATGCCGGGTGTAAAATAACAGTAAGGTGGCGTGATGGTTCTGTAATATATCTTTAAATATGGTTCATTACATAAATACACTCGCTCACATACAGGCCCTTGCTATAATATTATGTATACGGGAACTGCGTATCTAAGATATATGGGTGTGTTCTGGTCAAACCCTCAATCATTGAGAGAGCCAAGGCTACACACACAGGTCAGAATACCTGTAGCTATTGACCAATCAGAGAAGAGGAGTCTGTGTACATCTACGGTTGACTGCACCTGATAAGCAATGTTCGATCGGGTGCAGTGAATGTGTGGAATACCTGGTGCTAAACTGTACGATAATAAACATTTCATTACGTATTACAGTGGGATAGCACTATAAAGTCAGCATCAGATCCGCACTATCACAAGGAGGCAAGTACACCAACATACCGTGTATCGGACACACAAACACATATACATAACACACATGGAAGCACGTCCTTAAATGACCGAACCTTTTAATGGGACGTTAAACAAAATAAGCCAAACCAAATCGACAACTTCCGTTTTATATTGTCTCGCTATCGTGATTTTCGATTTCACTACGGGTTGATTTCATGCTTTCATTGCCAGATTGAGTTGTGTGTCTAAAATGCATTATATTTTTGTAATTAATAGGTCGTACGAAAATAATGCTAACATTATTGCCAGCTTCATTTTTTGCCCTCGACTTCACATCCAGCTCGATTAATGACGTGAAGGGGAACGGTGATACATCAATCCTTGTGAGGATGGAATTAACCAAATCTGCGAACATTTAACACGTTCTAAAGGACGTAATACAATTAACAAAATAACCGTTATTATTATAATTGATTTAAATGGAGATTAAATATCTATAAGCCTAAAATCGGTGAATGCAGCATTTTTTGGGGAAAGATTAACGAGGTATTCTTCAGACAATATTAATACAAACCAGGAACTGAGAAAAAATAAATTTATATAACGCGATACTGCAGCAGTCTGATGATGATCGGCAGCTAAATGTGAACACTCTTTCCCTACATGATAATAAGTGTGCCTATGGATAATTGGGTTGAAAGATTATCTCATGATGCTTTTACGGCAACTTGATCGGTTGTCATGGGAACAAAACTACTACCTCCAAAGTCATTCCTCTAATAAGATGCACATATATATTTCATTTAATGGAATATTTCCGCCTTGCTTGTTTTCCTTTTCTTTTTGTCCTCACTCAACCTGTTATCAAGCCGACGGCGTTATATCTCGTACTCGTTGTGCAGTATTCCTGACAAAAAATGGCAAATTATGACGATAGGGTAGCTATGGAGTAGGGTTGTCAAACTGTTCTAAATTTAGTAACCGGTTACTCGAAACATCTTCCGACCGAGTACCTGTTAAGCAGTCAGATTGTTGTACAGGCAATGAATAACAACAAAAAATGCAGTTCGTGTATGGCAAATGTAATATTCCAAACGCTGTATACATAAATTCAATTTGACGCCGGAAGTAACAGAATTCAACGTTTGTGTGACCTGAGTTAATGTTTTTTAGGAAAAAATGAATGAAAAGGAAAGCAAGATTAGTCAAAGCCGAAGAATTCTTTAGTTTACGTAAAGAGCCAATTAGGGTTGGCATATGCATCATAACGACTTTGGTAACGCGTTTTGATAAATGCTAAGCAAAAGTCGATCGTGCACTGTTTTACTAATAGGTTTTCGATATTGATAAGTGTTTTTCGATTGATACCTTGTCTAACTCGGTTAACCGATAAACCGTTGATAAACCCACTATGGAAGAAATTATTTGATTTCTGTTAAGGCTAATGATCAAAAACTAAGTGACCACTATCAATTAGTCATCATACAATACAATAGTCCATCACTATCAATTAGGCATCATACAATCAAATAGTCCATCACTATCAATTAGTCATCAAACGATCCAATAGTCCATCACTATCAATTAGGCACCATACAATCCAATATTCCATCACTATCAATTAGTCATCATACAATCCAATAGTCCATCACTATCAATTAGTCATCATACAATCCAATAGTCCATCACTATCAATTAGTCATCATACAATCCAATAGTCCATCACTATCAATTAGTCATCATACAATCCAATAGTCCATCACTATCAATTAGTCATCATACAATCCAATAGTCCATCACTATCAATTAGTCATCATACAATCCAATAGTCCATCACTATCAATTAGTCATCATACAATCCAATATTCCATCACTATCAATTAGTCATCATACAATCCAATATTCCATCACTATCAATTTGTCATCATACAATCCAATAGTCCATCACTATCAATTAGCCATCATACAATCCAATAGTCCATCACTATCAATTAGTCATCATACAATCCAATAGTCAATCACTATCAATTAGTCATCATACAATCCAATATTCCATTACTATCAATTCAGGAATAGAGTGACTGTCTGGGTCAGACTTACCTTGTTTGTTTTCCCCAGTATTCCAGAGCTCTCATACTGTTTCAGTATTTACTTGTGACAAATGTCTGCTGGGATATCAAGATTCACTAATGAATTATATAATGGTTTCTGCGTAGACATGTAGATTCCATTATAGTATGCCGTAGTTTTAAGTCTGTACTTCATTTTCTTTCAATGATCCATGGACATTTGAAGGTAGTTTACTCAAGAGCCGTCAATTAAAAAAGGGCATAAATTACTCGTTTATAAATTGCTTTTTGCAAAATCAATTATGCAACCTTGATCAATGTATTTGGATTCACCGAGAAGCTAGTAATTTGATAATGCTCAACAAGAATAATTATTAACCACGTTAATATTAAGACATCAATACTGCCCTATCAATAATTGTCAATAAATATAATCGATCTCATTCTACACTGTCCGCCTTACCTGGTTGTGAGTAGTGACTTGTTCTTTCCTCTTTCTATAGCAATGAAGATAGTCTGACGCCCAGAACAGAACGTGATTGTTTTCCTTTATTTCCATAAACAGTTGGAAAATACAAAATTTATCATGTTTTCATTCATCAAAGTGTCCTTGTGTCTGTTAATATAAAGCACTACTACGTTCCCGGTCGCTGTCCGACTGTCACTCAGACAAACTAGTTCTTGGATCTCACATTTTATTTGTTAGAAAAATAAGGAAATTTCCCCGGCCCGTGTCA